TTCTCCAAATTACTTGGATGTCGTTACTCACGAACAAGCTCTTCGACGGACGGTGACGACTACGAGCTACGGTCCATCCATTTCTAGTCATCCTGATGACTACGAAAGTGCTGGTTCCAACCAAACGTTAAAGATATTGCTGCATAGTCAACATCTTCATGGAAATCGAATCCCGTACGACAGTCTGGTTTTCCAGACGGAGTTATCCAAGTCTGGATCTGCCGCTACGGAGGCCAAGAAGTGGCAGTGAAGAAGTTACTGCATATTAGAGACCAGAAGGCAGAAGACGTGCAGGTTTTCGCTGAACAGTCGAGTTGACGGCCAGTTTAATTCATCCGCATATTGTCAAGTTCATTGGGGTGGCTTGGAATAGTCTCAGCAACTTGTCAATGGTTGTTTTAAAATGCAAGGTTGGCACAAATACCTCGCGATTCATCACATGTATGGACACAACAATGGATCTCGGCGCGCTGCAGCCGCCACCACCGCAGCTCAGCGACATATCGTGAACATCAAGCTCTACATCTCACTGCGACCAGCAATAAAGACGTTATGTAGACGAAGTTCTCGCGTAGGTCACAACAAGGCAGTCGGAATGCCACCACACATTATGCCCGCTAATGTCCCAAGGCCCATACCGCTGAACCCCATTTCAGTTTATTATGTGAGTGAGGTTTTCACCAAAGCACGACTGTTTTAGTTTGACAGGTATATTCTTCAATAGGATGGGTACATTGCTAGTATTGGTAGTGAGTAGTGCTACTAAACTGGCAAAGGCTACAAAATTGGCAACTTACCTTATGTGACCCCTACGGCGACGTTTACCCCTTCTGGACAACCACATACGTGATGAGCACTTTAACTGCAGTTGAAAGGTAGAACATTCAACCAAAGTCCAGATGTGCCAGATTCAACCGTTCGACTAATCTGATGAAAATGAATGTATCTTGTCCACCAAACATTTTGATTATTGCAGTAGAAATAAAGATAGAAGTCAGCTCACGGAGAAGATACCGTGTGGAGATGGAGCCGAGCATCAATTCCTACGACATTTCCTGGGACGACAGCATCGCATTAGACATTAATGGCGCTTGTTTGGAAGACGACATGTTTTTGAATGGCTCTGAATTGGAGGACGGTCTCTTTGAGGAGGTCTTTGGCAGTGATGACAGTGGTGGGGGCGACGATCAATGAAGTGCTTCATAGCGCCGCTATTGCTGTTCATTTGTCGTTCTCGTCTTCTTACGCACTACTGAAGTCGTA